AATTTTCTGCGTTTTCTGGACTTTTGGAGTTTCCGAGCACGTCAACATTACTCTCGATGATGATGAAGGTTTAAAGGCGCTTCAACAGCTAAGGTGATTGGCGCCCGTGTCCTTTATGTATATAAGATCAATACGCAGCAGTACCGCACTAAAACATTTCCAAGGTAAAATTTAAGTAAAACTGAACATAAACATATTCAATTATTTAAAAGGGTTGGCTGAAAAGAGCCCGATAAACACTTTAAAATCCAATCATAAGCCAAATTATTAGCATAATCATCTTCTCTCGGATAATGCTGTAAATGCCAGACTCTTGTAAGACGCCAAAAAGCTTGCAGAGAGAAGATTCGTCTCCTCCAAGTACCTGTGCTAGAGAGCTAGCAAAGTGTAGCCTTCGCCGGTTATCGCTTACCTTACAACAGAGCAGGAAAACATTCTCCCCTACTTGCGATAGTTGCGAGACGGAACAGAAGTCCCGTTAGAGAAGCGAATCTCATATCCCGGGAGGGGGCGATGTTCCTCTCAACTGGATGGTGCGATCCAGTGCCAACCTACACGTTGCCTCGCCGTGCTCCTACTCCAGGGTTCCACCCCCAAGAGGGCACCGCCCATCCGAGACGAGACAAGCCAAGCTCCAAAGCCCAAGCTCCAAAGCAAAGTGTAAGAAATTGTAAAGGGAAAGGATTGGACAAGGGAGTGGAAGGAAAGATCGTACGCAATCCACGCAGTTTGTTAAGGTTCTGCTCCGGCATTCGCCTGGATTGATGCAACAAACCATGGGAAAATATCTGAGCAGCCGCCTGCTAGAGTTCTCCTTCAGATAGCGGCAGACTTCGACTAGCAACAAAGCAATTATCGAAATACCGCCTGCAATTGAACCCCAAGACCTCCCAATCTGAGACGCCGCAGAGACAATGCTAATAATGCCAACTCTGACAGAACTGTGCCGGTCTCTTTTAGACTTAATTACGCGATCCCTCGCTCTCCAAATCTGTTTGGGTGTCTATTTATATCCGACTATGAGAGCCTATGCTGCATTGGGGTCGCAATCGGTTCCATAGACAGTAACTTTTTTTACCTTTGGCATGTTGCCTCCCTTTTAGGAATAAAATAACACAGCGTTCTTCTGGAAATCAACTTGTTTAGCGATCAATGATATACTGCGATTTTCTCAACTCTGCCCCTGGCAGGTAGCAGCTGTTGACAGTTTCATCCAATCGGGAAGTCATCATGGTGTCGTTTAAGCTTCCGATTGGATGAAACCGTGAACAGCTGATACCTGCCAGGGGCAGAGTTGCATAAATCATAGTAAAAAAATGACAAGTTTCTCCACACGTATGAATCCAATTACACCTAACAATGCTACTACCACTTCGGATTCCTTTATGCGCTTCCCAGAGGGCCATCTCACCCAAATTTTAGACCTCCTTAAGCCCCACTGAACTATCCCTACAGAATTGCAACACCTTGTTTTCACAAGCATATTTCCGACATCCGAATAATCAACTGAGGTACAGAATAATCCCTCACCTGATTGAAGCTTTTCTTAATTTTTCACAATTGAAGGGGGAACTTCAGCTTTTGAAAATACTTACCACCGGGTTTCTCAATTGGCATTTACAAATACAAAACACAAAAACAATAATTAGACTTCGAAGAAATTAAAAACTTACAGTTATAATGGCCACATTTTAAATCTAAAAGTGAGAACTTCAGAGGCATTCTGTGGCAATTACGCCCGTTTCGAAATCAGCAAAGGAGAAGTACTTATTCACTTTCGATTCCCAAGTACACACGCACTTTCGCTCGTATATACTTAATGCTTTTCTCGTTGATAGCAGTGATTCCCAGTTGTTTAAGCAAATCAATCATACTTACGGTGAATACAAATACTGTTTATTCACATCAATAATTGTGATAAAGAAAATTATAAGTATACAGATACATCCGATTACTGGCGTTCGTTCTCGTAACAGAGGTGAGTTTTCAACCTGAATGATAAAATTAATTAAAATTTGAAGGATTTTGTAAAATATCAAAAAATCAGAAATTCAAGCCAAGTTAAGTACGATAAGTGAATACATAACCAAGACCGGTATTATTGTGATCTAATGGTGTTCGGAACCTAGTAAACTTTGCGCCTTATTTTACTTGAATGTCACTTGTAATAAAGGATAATAAAGGATCTTAAGACGTGCAAGAATCAACGCTTCATTCAGTCTTGTTATAAGACCCAGGACCGAGGCATGACATAAAACAGGACACTTAGGTTGAATGCTGTTGTCCATATGCAAGTCACAAATCCGTCGAAACATTTTACATCACCAGAAATGAACCAAGAAACGATTAATACTGCAATATTTGGTGAATATATTACGGCTGAAAATCGAATATGGCTAATTCCCGAATTAACAGAACGTTATCATCCAAAAGGGGTTGATTAAGTCGGAAGTCGGAACAGTGTCGAAGCATACTTCGGACTTCAGCCAGGTGAGGTGAAGATCAGATAACACGCGGTGCTACCACCATTCTAATTTTACTTTGAACCTCAGTTGACGCATCGCTACGGATTTCGGAGTTGGAAACGGGGATCAGGCCTTCGCGATTTAACGATTTCATGAAACAACCTTGAGTCGGTGCAACAATTTCACACGGATTTATATGCCAAACTACTATTTGTAAACGCACAAGACACCTCACACTTGAACAATCACCTTAATTTAGAATGCGCCCTATGGCTAATTTCAACACTAATTGGATGAAGACCGAAATGTATCGCTTATTGTTATTCATACCCATTTGCCCACACCGTCTGGCTATTGAGCAAATTAATTGGCTTCTCGTAACATTCGGACTTAATTCGCATTATTTTATAACGTACAGTCGCATACTTATTTTGACGTATTGTAACCAAGAGTGTAACAAGAATTCGTCTCACTCGCCTGGCAACGCCTTCCCTCCAGCTCGGAGATGCTGCCTCCTCCATTGTGAATAAAATACACCTGTGACCCCCACCAAACTTTAGCTCAATTATATCAAAAATATACGGGCTTGCTGTGTATATATATAGCTACCTCAGCCCCTAAGAGGACTGCTGTGTGACGATGTCCGTAGTCCACCCCTCTCTAATCGCCCAGTCCGCCTTACCGCGCTCGTATATCTACCAGGGTCCGAACCTAAATAAGTTCAACCCAAAGGTTCGGGGGACTGCGAGCCATTCGATGCGGCCGACCCGCAGGCGCGGGAGGGCAGCAGAAACACGAAAGCGATGCTCCGGCCGATGGCGCCCATCGATCGTGGAGAACGGGAGGCGGCGAACGTCCCCGCACCCGAGCCACACGCCAGGTCCTCCCACCACCTCCACCCACGCCGCTTGAACCCACGCACGCGTTTACACGCGTTCGCAGCGGCCCACGTGGGACTCGCTGGACCACGCCCCCCCCTCCCCCGCCGGGCGGCCACACCGGCACGCGGTGCCGTGAGCGCCATCCAAGATTTGGGAATCATTCAGATCCGTTGTTTTTCATTTTCCAACTGCCTAAGAATTCTCTTTAGTGAAGGGCTAAACGAGCGGTTTTGATATTTGATCACCCATTTAGCAACTCAAAACCGAGTGGAAATGTCGACAACGATTGCTCTATTCTTTGCGCAATTCACCCTGGATCCACGCCTTTGTTTACCTCTAAAAGAGAACACATTTCAAATTACATTTTATATTATTTGTATTACACATTTCGCTTCCGATTACTGTTGTGCTCCAAATTCGAGCTGCACGAAGTAGTAGCTTTTGGCGCATTAGACGGTCGTGTGATGTGCTAGTGCGACAGCGCTCCTCTTTCTCTGTAACTCCCATTAACTCGAAGTAGAAGCAAGCAGTCCACAAAGTTAAGGACTCGACTGGCCTACGATATCTCATAAGTGAGATATATGTATAGTAAGTTTGATGAGGCAATTGTAACAGAAATATTAAAGAAATAGCATCTGCAACAATTTTGAATTTATTGAAATTTAAATTTGCATTATACAATTATGACACTTTCTGATTTTTTTCCTATGATTTTTAAGCATTTCCATTGGGGAAAAAATGTTCAAATAACTTCGCTGAAATTTTAAAAAAGGTTCAAAAAAATTGTTCCGGCAATATCTATTAAAAGGCCATTATAGAAAATGATAAATAGGAACAGATTGAAAGAACGAAATTAATAATACCATCATTATTAGCGCTAGATATTAGTTCTGGTCCAAACAATGTGCGCTGTACTTTTATTTTGTCTACGTTTTGATAACTTTTGCCTTCAATCAAAATGCTTCGCGCGAATCTTTCCACGAGAACTCTTAATTGAAAATTAATTTATTTCTCTACAAAATATTAACTTGCCACGTCTCCAAAAATAATTTATAGTAAGTACGAATGTAAGATATAATGCCCGATGTGGATCATTTGATTTACTGCAACGTGAGTCACCAGTCTCGTCTGGGATAATATGCAACGGTTGATATACACACCAAAGTAAAGAGAGAAAAAGCATCATAAAAATCTACTACAATCATACACAAAACAGCACCCAATGTCTGCAGCGTTTCCATGACAGGTTGACATTTAAAATAAAAAATTGGCAATCATTCACAGAGAACGGTTGATACAAAGTATCCATATTCAAAAACTAGCTCACGAAAAACAGCATGTTTTCGTTTATTCCCAATATACCAAAAAATGGAGAGGTCGAACTTTCATTTTTTCTTTGTTCAAATGCCAAGCCATAACAGACCACGTTCACAAGATCTAAAGTTTCTGAAAGATGTAGATCAAGTCGATATCACCAAAGAATTGTACGCTCGTGGCAAGGTCGTATTCATTACTTGTGACAGATCGAATGTTAGTCGAAGAGAATGACTGGTGCCCTCAACATCGGGCATTTAAACGGCACCGAATCGCAGTTCTAAATAGAGAAAACAACGCCGATCATCGACTTCATGTTCAGAACACCACAGTCTAAGATTTAACTGAATGCACTCAACCGACCAATTTGCAGAAGACCGCTGAATTCTTCAGGAGCATCTTCCATGCACAATTTGTCCAAGGACTCAGCACGAAAGCTGCCTGCCGGCAAGCGGCCGATACATTTACGTAACTCACGAGCACACTGTCAGTCCGGGCGGCATGAACTTCGATCTCCGACAGAGTTCGGCTCTCAGCGCGCCCGCCGATCTACTACACACTGCAGCAACTCCTGGATGGCACTTCAATTTTGCCATCTATCGTCGATTCCCTAAGGAATGAGTCGCCAATATACGATTGATGGCTAGATTGCAAAATACACTGTTTTGATGTTACCACGCACAAAACGGATCAACCCAGACAAATGTATTGCTGAACTCCACATACTCTTTTTAACACAATAAAATGTAATACTGTTGAAAATACATTAAAAATTCTATCATATTCTAAAGTACATTTGCAGTCAAAGACGTACTTTATAAATTACATAACACTGCATGTGCTCGACCAAAACTCTGTTTCTGCTTCATTTTAGCAAACGAGGGTTTAGCTGTTTAATGACAACATACCAGTCAACATTTGTGAATACAAATATTAATACTAATAAAATAAGGCACTATAGCCCCATAACTACACAAATCTGGGCTGTATTACAAATCTTACCAACAACCTACAAATCAACTACTTTGCCTAAAATCATTACTTTCATGAAACGCGATTGAGTTGGTGTCGTCACCAATGAACAAGTTAAACAAGCACAACCATGAAAATATTTCGTTACATCATCAAGGTTACTTTACCGACATCATGCGTGCCAATTGCCTAAGCACGGCAAGTGTTCACGAGACCAACCTTTCTTGCCAAAGGAACAACTAGAATCATCAGATTTTCCACTTCGCGATGCATGTTTCTCCATTCCATTAATTCCATTTTCTGCAGCACTTTCCACCTGAGAACCGAGAGCCATAATCACAAACACTAGACAGATGTACACCTCTCTGCTCCGTATCACTGCACGTGTGTACGACCCTCCGCAACTAAATGATTCTTATTGGTTGACGACTCAGGGATTGCCTAGCCGCCACACCATTCTACCAATATAACGCATTTACATTCCCTGCTAAGTCTTTAAGTTATCGGTAGAAATAGTTTACATGAGATAATAATGTGACATTAAAATTATTTATTTTGTGAATATGAACACATTTTTATTATTTTATAGTAAGTGCAACAATTTCCTGTACATTAACTTTGAGAGAAATTTTCTCCGACTTTGGGAGTATCAGAACGATCTTCCTTTGTTATTGGACTATGTATAAACGCGTAGTGCGTTGTAGTAGAGTGTTTGCGCACTTCTTCCAAAATTCTGTTTCTGAAGTTGATCAATGTTCATCTAGCATTCTCGTCTTTTTTTGTTGTTCGTTACCTGTTCATTACTGTTGCATGTAAGCACACATTCATGATGGTGAGTTTTGTATATTTCAATTTTCAATATAGGTTATCAGACATTAGAAACTAATGGACATTTTTTTAAAGCAAATATTTTAAAATGAAATATTCTTCAAAAATTAATCGCTATTTTTTAATATTTACAAAATTGGTATTTTGGGGATTTCATGTCATACAAAACACATTAGAACAGAATATTGTATTTTTTTAATATTATTAGTTCCATCATATTGGTACTAAAAATAATTTTGATGTATCATTTATCATCAACATGACCTGCAGGTGTTTAGGTATGAACCTGTTTCTGTTTGTGCTGCTTCAGTAGACCTAGTAGATAATTCATCTAGTTGTTCCAGAGGATGTATCATTTGTGTGCTTAAGAATTTGTCCTTTGTAGTTTTTGTGATGATATTTCATTAGCATTCTGCAGGTGTAAATAGTGTAATAGAGATTTTCATGTTAATGACAGATTTGCAAATTCTTTCTCTGTGCATTAATGACATGCTCGTAACAGCAACAGAGCTGAAATGCCTCTTAACATTTAATCAGAGAGTGAATCCACAGACAAATTTTGGTAGGAGGAATTAAAATTGTTTGATCTAACGTGTCTTTACAGATTTTGTAAAATGCCACAGGCTACACTCAACTCATGCTGCAATACAATTTTATTCATTTTAACGATTATCCGAAAATATTTTTGCTTGAAAGTTACATGACAAGTTAAAATTAATAGATACTAAAAAATGTTAGGACGATGGATTATTTTTCTTCATTTCTCTCCCTGTAAATCCATGCGTGACTTTATGCTATGTATATTCTTTCTTCAATCAACCAATGTGGTTCCAATAGTAAATACGTTCTAATTATCACTACAATAATAATGAACTAATTCACATCTTTTGTCGCCAGTTATTAATTATATATTTAATCATACATGTAACAGTTGTGAAATTTTTATGCGCGTGAAAAAATTCTTATAAACTTACAGGTTTTTGACAAAAATTTGAGACAGTCACCGATGCAAAATTGTGATAGTATTAGTGGTGAAATGGAACAATATGAGGAAAATCGAGCTGCAAGATGCCGACAAAAATTACTTTGTGAGCTTGATTCATTTCGACAGCTTAGTTGCCAGGTACTGTGCATTTTTGGTGAATTAAAAGGATTTTTGTTTACTTCTTGTCTTGCTGCCTTTTGATCTACAAGTAAAATTTTCAGGGGAAAATTAATAATATTTTAGTGAGAGTTCAAAAGAGTTCTCATAGTGCCGCAAAGGAGAAAGTTCATCAGCAAGAAAATGTTTGGTTGGCAAATCAGGCAAAATATTTAAAGGAAGAGCAAGAAATCTATCACAAACTGCATGAAGAAGAAGAAGAATCAAGGAAACGACAAGAACAGTTGGTTTATGAGCATGAACAACATGCTAAGGTATGTGTCCTTTACAATGTTTTTTAGTAATTAGATTTTATTATTTTACATCTTTAGGAAAATATGTAGTTAAAATATTTCTTAGGAACTTAAAATGTGGTAGCAAGAGAGAGGAGCATTCCTTTTGGAAAGATTTGCCCCTGTTTTAAATTAAAACTGAAAATTTTGCTCTTCATTGTGTAATTTTTATTCCAAATTAACATCTAATATAACCAGCAGTTTCAATTGATAAATATGTTCAAAGGTTTTCTTAATAAGCATTGTGCTCCTTTTTCAAAATGTCCCAGGGAGTGATCTTTAAATTTCTAAGGTAAATACATTGTAAATTCCAAAGAATGTATAAATAATTATAACTTTTACCATTATTACTTGAAAATATGGTTATTTCTTTTCTTAACTTGATCTTTTTTTAAATATTTTCAGCGTGTCAATGAAATAAGTAGAATCATCAAGGGAGTTGAAGAGAGGGAGAGAGAAAATGAAGAAAGAAATAGACAATTACATTTGCACAAAAGAATGCTCACTGAGAAATGTCATACCTATGTTTTGGAGTACAGAACAATTTATGAAAAATTTTTGGAAGTTTTGAAGTATGTCTCCAGAGGTTTAATTATATTATCCTAAGATTAATAGTGATAAAGGTTTTCTACTAGTAATAAAATCATATTACACTTAGAATCTTATGAATTGACACACAGATAATAAAAATAAGACTAATTAACATTCATTTCTTAAAAAGATTTTATTTGTGAGTAGATTGCATTTAATGCTTTAAATCTGGCATTTCAGTAATAATAAAACACGAATATTTAAAATTATTGTTTGCATAATACTTTCATCTGGAACATTTAAATTTAAAGTAACATTTTTATACATACTACAAAATGAATTCACTTCAACTTTTGTTCATTAATTTACATTCTGTATTAAGAATTTGAAGGATTTTTGGTTACATACATATTTTCACTTGCAGATCATGTAAAGACAAACGAACATTAGGGGAAAAATGTGCATCAAGTGTGACAAAATTAAGATATTTTTCAGAGTTGATGAATCAGCAAATTCCTGAGAAATGTAAGGTGAGTTCTAGTTGTTTCTGTTGTGTTTTTTTGTTTTGTTTTTTTCCCCTCCCAGTTAATTTATCATATATTTAATGTTTAACATTAATTTGTCTGTAACGCCAATATATTTATGTATTTTTATTACATATAATTTTATCTTTTTTTTGTACTTTATTAGAATTTGGCAGTTTCTGATGATGATTTGAATACATGTACAAGAATATTAGAAGAAGCAAAACTTATTGTAGAGAAAATGGAAGAAGATATAAGTAAGTTAATTTATTTTGACAACTATATATTTTTGTTTATAATCAAGTAGATAATGAGAAGAAAAAATCTGTGTCTCAAAGGATTATTAGCCGTGTGATAAAATCATATGTCGCTATATTTTACTAAGTCTAGGGCACTTATCAGGGAGAATTGTAAATAATTTATACTTCAGATCCCCCATGTGTTTTTCCAGTGATATTCCCAAAATTCTAATAATAACTTCATTAACATAGTTTGCTACCACTTTTGGCAATAAGTGGTTATAAGTTTTAGGCCTACATAACATGCAACCCTATAAATTGAGACAAAAGAAAACCTCCAAGTATACTATTGTATCTAATTTATCGGAGATTAATTTGCAAGTGCATAGGAATGCAAAGTACTAGAAGTTTCTAAGACATTGTTTACATCCATCCAGGCCATGTTGAGGATACAACATTAATTCTAAAATGAAGACGAAGTTTAAACTCTATTTCATAATTTCACTGAGGTATTGGTCTGTGAACACTTGAAAATTCAGTCTAAAGCTGATGGTGACTTAAAAAGAAGACCAACATATATCATACATAACTGAGCTGTGGATTTTTACCTTTGCCTATTTTTTACCTCTGATACAAAACACAATCCTTTAGGTTACTTGTTCATTTTGTGGCATTAGAAGCATTATGTGTGAATTTTATTTCACTAATAAAGGCTTATTTTGGATTTAAATGCCTAAATGTTGACTATTCTCAAATTTATTGATCAAAATACAGTGATCCATATCAAAAAAAAATAAATTAAAAGTTGCTTGTCTTTTTGTTTTTATTCTGCAAATTACAGAGAAATTGGCCAACTATCAATAAATCTATGTTCTGTTTTATTGTCACCACAGTACAGGTATTTTGTATTATGAAACAAGTGCAAATTTGCTGGTGGTTGTCAAGTTACTTTTTACTTTTACTTAAACAATGCTTAAAAACGATTCTAAATTTTTTCTTAAAATTTTCTCCTTGTATGTATCAAAGGACATTATAAAAATTGGTGCAGTTCCATTTTTCGCAAACACTGTATTTTCCAAAAATTGTAAAATGTTTCAGTATTGAATATTGAGATTTTTGTCTTGGATGAAATTTTTCTAAAACATCAGATCTTTAAAAAAGTCCATGCATTTTTTTTAAACGGGTAGTTTTTGCATAATTTCTTTTTAAATTGCAGACAAATTATTAAAAAACATCTCGAAAACCATTAGAAATGTTTGCTTCATGTCTTTTTTTCTACTGAAAGAACAAGGGACACTTAAAAAAATGATGCAGGTCTCATTTTTGTTTAACTCTCTGAATTTTTGAAAATTGCAAATTTTTAAATATATTTTTTTAGATATGTGAGAAAGTATGTGCTGTTGCAACTGCAATAGTTACATTTGTCTTATACATGGTAATTAAAGCAAATCAAATAATATTTTCACTTATGTTAAAATTGAATGTGAGAAAAAACATCATACTGTGCAGCATTAGAGTATCAGCTTGCATTTCATGAAAAGCTACAATTCAGCCTTGTTTGTCCAAATTGCTTGACAGTGAACGGAAGGAGAAACAAAATTTAAGCTTTTCACAAATATCTCAAAAAATGGGGGAGAAATCTACTTGAGTCAATTATAATTAAAAGAATGATAATTATCAATAAAATTCCCATCTTGATTCATTTTGATAAAGCAAGTAGGCATTGAGTAAATGAAGGACAAAATTGTTACTGGAGTGTGCATCAATGCATCCATTCACAGCTGCACTTAGTAACATTTATCATAGCAAATATAGAAAGGGAGGATGTGGTAAGAGTAGGGTAAGTGTGATGGGGCAAGTCAGG